GGCCACTACACATCCTCATCCGGAATCCGCGCGAAAGTGACTTTGGCACATTTTAGACACCCAGGGTTTGATATGATTCGTTACAACTTCACATAATCTACGAACTAGCACTTTACCACCGCTATGATAAAACTTTAGTTGCCAAGATACTTGATGGCATTCTCAAACATGTTTCCATTTTTATTTTTAATGCGAATTTTTCGTTAATGACCTTTGCTTGAAAAAGTTATTATAGGAATCAAACGGATGCGTATTTTAGGAGACTGTGCACCTAATGCATACATATGCTACTCCGGCGGGTTTGTTCAAAAAAACAGATTACAATATTTCTGATCAGACTTAGCATTCATGCGGCGTATCTTATCTTATATTTCTACTAGAAATTGGAATCTCTATTTATTGAACTAGCACAATCGACTAAGCGTCTAACGGATATTTTCTTGCTTATTACATAGGAGAAAGCTACAAACAAAGCTGTCGGGTGTGACTTCTATGCAGTTTTCCTCAATCGCTGTGTTTGTTTTTTTTTTAAATTTTGCGTTCTTTGTATGCGTCTTAGTTGGGAATGAATAAACCATGCGGATTGACTCGTTCAAGTTTTGTCGAGGAGTCCGTCCTTGACGAAGAAACTTTATTTGGTGTTTCTACCCTACAGACCCTTTGTGGGAACCGTGTTTTCTATAATATATAAAAAGTTAGCTGTGAAAGTAATGCAGATAAACTAGTGTTTACAGACTCTGCATCCGGAAACCATTTTGGGAAAATCTGTCAAAATGAGACTCTTTTGTACCTTGTCAAGTGAAGAATATAAACTCGTAAAGTCGGCGGGTTACTCTTCCTGCTGCTGTGGGAATCGTACTCAATTCCATTTTTTCCATCCACCAAATATGCCCTTCAATATAACTGCCAACTGCAATCTACCTCCCCTCGTCTGCTTGCCTTCTAAGCCTTTGAGCTCACGCCTGAGCGTACACCCGAACAAGTCACTATTCGGCATCGCACAACCATCACCGTCTTTTAAATCACAATGGTCATCATGAATAACAAATCACCATCATCAGAATGGGAGCCACAGAGAAACGAGTACACAGCGCCCGCCGACCAACTGATAGTCTCTGTGGATGGATGATTGCGAGTAATAATTGTGAAACCTAGGTAGGCGAAAGGTGTTTTGCATTCTTTGTTTCACTCTACCAACGACGTCTGCGGCCCACTAACAGTGTTGAAGTCCATAAGGTCGATGGTAGTCTTGCGAGAAAATATTTTAAACAATCTCCATGGAGCTGAACCAACGACAAAGATATAACCAACAATGGAAATGACACATTAATATTGCAACTTTTTTACAATAATCTAAGACAGAATTTAGTGAGGATGTGAGGTTTTCAATGTGCTATCGAGGTGATATAGAAGTCGTAAATGAAGGATTGATGGCGCATGTAGATTCACGCTACAGCTGCAATAGCAGTCAAGTTGACGTTTTCGTCCATATTCGAAAGTTGTGTGTGGAGATCCACTAGTGTTGGGTAAACGAGGTCGGGCAAGCGACCTTTGTTATCCAGATCACGCCGGGCTTCAGCTAGGACTTCCTTAGTTGTCGTTCCAGTCAGCACACAGATGGAGAGCAGACCGAAGTTGTTGGCAAAGAGCATATCTGTGTCGAGTCTGCGGTAGTGTTAGGCAACAAAACACCAAGCGAATGAATAGAGATATCGTATAAATCTTTTGGATTTGTGAACTAATCTTTCCCACCTCCATTGCGATTGTCTTTTGTTTAAGAAACCTTGCACGGCGGCAAGGGTGTGAAAGTTAGCGTCAGAGATCCAGAGTCAAGCAAAACCTTCAGGATCGTTGGTAATACATCAGAGACAGATATGACTTGCTGTTATGGGATTCAGTTGGCTCTAGATCTTGTTGATGTGGGCGCATTATAGGAGATGTACGGACGTTTTAGTAGAGGAAGAGGGGATTTGTTTAATATATCCCATTCCATACTTATGAGTGAAAGCAATTAGGATTAAGTAGATAGCATTGACAGTGACCAGGGTGATTCAGTGTCAGTTGACGTTATGGTAGACCCCACACAGGTCGTAGATATAATACTTCGCGATGTGACATCCAGTACGCTTGAGTATAAGATGTATGAAGGTGAAAACCAGCCCGTATGCAGGGGTACGTATACCTCAGCTTGCAGCTTACTCAACTGTGTACATACGCATTTCCAAGTTTCTGGATATCGTCGTGATTCTGAGATCTTGTAGTCGCGATAGAAGAGCAAGATCTGGATGCTATCCAAGTTCTCTCAGTAAAATCGAATATATGCCTAATTTTTTCTATACCTTCAGTTCTGCGGTGGAGTCCATCTCACTTAGTCTCGTGAAAAAGAGACTTTTGTGAAAAAATAGTCATTCTATTATGGGAAATTGTTGAACAACAAGAACGGGTGCCCAAACTTTACCGTCTATTACTTATCAGCTCATACACTGACAGAAGCAACGGCTTACTGTGGACTCCTAATTTTTGTCATGCCCCCAGATGCTGAAGCAGCCACCTTTCGTCTCACCTTTAATGAAACATCTTATGCGGTTTTCGATGTGTTATGAATGAAGTGAATGCAATATTTAGACTCCTTGACACCGGAATCGCAACCCTCGCTCTCCGTGGTTAAACGGGTGGTCATGCGTACAATTGGCGAGAGAGTAAGCATGCAGTTACTAACTCAATACGAAGTGCACTTGTGAACGCCTGTCGAGACTAGCTCAAGTCAAAGTGCACTTTTCTAAGTGCTCGCTGTTTTCCGGTCTCTGTAACAGCCAATCACAGGCCGACTCACACAG